TCAACACGCAAGATCGCGTTCATCAAATTTGCTTAAACTAAGTGTTTTGGCTGTATTTTACAAGCAAGGATTCTGACACAGCAACATGAAGCAAATGCTTTACAAAAGGTGCATGTAATGCCTAGTTCAGACTGCGTGATTTTAGCCCCAATTTTGGCTCGCCGACAGGTTTTGAGAAATCGCTGACAAATGCCTGAAATCACAGGCAAATCGGTGCTCGTGCACGTGAGTGACAATCACACAGTATAAACGATCAAAGACGCGATCTGAGAGAATCGCCGATGAGTCGCCGATGCCTGCCAGATATTTGGCATGCTAAATATCTGGAGCTGTCGGCGATTCAAATCATGCCTTTGTGAATTGAGTTTTGACTGAAAATAACATCAGCGATCGCCTACAGCCAATGAGAGAGCGGCATTCACTTGCGTGTGTGTGTGTATACCTGCTGCAGGCCAGCGGGAGGCTGGGGGAGAAGTTAAAAGCGCTCTTTTTCGGTTTATTTATACCCACGAAATGGAGGAAAACTAGTGGAGGTTTGACAGGACTCAGGAGCAACCGTGTCTGTTTGACGTTTTATACAGAAAGAAATTAGTTTATTATCAACTTAAGTTGAGGAGAAATGGCTAATTCCCTTTAAACCCAGGTGAGCAAACATGTACATGTTCTACCCCATTAAAGGCTTCTTTCTCATTATGTAGTTAATAACAAAAGATATACTACGTGTTTTTGGCTGTAAGACGTAGTTTGGACGAAGTTGTCTGCGATTCTTCCTATAGTAAAGTCATGCAATGTGAAAGTCCCTGTCACCGATCCATCTTGCAGTGTAAACAAAGCAGCGACGAAACGCTAGCCCAGATAGTCATGCAGTGTGAAAACATATGTGACACGACTACTTTAAAAAATCATGCAGTCTGAACTCGGCATAACTTAACATCAAACTTAGTGAAACATTTGAGGGTGCATAGAATCAGTATTTCTAAGTAAGGCAGAGTAATGGACTGTCTTTGACAGCTTGCAACATCATCTGGCACTTTCACTGAGTTCATTTACATGGACACCAATACTCCGATTTTATTAGTATTAAGACAATACTCTGATTAAGAGTCTACCATGTAAGCAGTGATTTTTTGATTCCCTTAATGGACCACCCGAGTCATAAAATGAGGAAGTTTTTCTTTCCTTTATCAAATTCCATAAAAACACCACTCTTCCAGCTGTCCGTACTTCATATTTTAATCAAATATTTGTCACGGGGCATGAACAATATGCTTCTGAATGAAAGTGAGTTGCTAAACTGCAGTTAAAGTCTAAAGATTAAAAATGAAACACCCAAAATTGCATGAAACTCTGGAGGAAACGCTGGATAGCCTGGTTATGCGACATTATTGTTTTATACTGAAACTTTCCTTCTAAAAGCGCTTCCTTGGTCTTATCTAAATTTCTTTGCACGTTAAACACATGTTGGCCACAAGAGGAAAAGAAAAAAACTGCAAATGCGTTAATTGCATTTTTTAAAAAGCGTTAAATATTTTTAATTACTCGCATGCGTTAACGCGCTAAGTTTGACGGCCCTAAAAAAATAAAATGCTTTTTTATATATGACAGGTCACTTTGTTTTCAAATGCAGCTACTGTATGCATATTCACATTCTTTTAGGCACAAACAGTCCTATAGTCTGCCATTTTTGTTTTGGAAGTCAAGTACTCTCACATTCCTAATCAAGTAATGCTAAACATAACAAGTAATAGTAAACATGCCAAGCAAGTAATAGACCAAACAAGAAATGTATACAACATCACCATTTTCACAAATTGGCATTGTTTTTGTTCACACAGCTAATGGTATCACAGACTTTGACTTAAATCTGCTTGTGTGTGTGTGTGTCTGTGTGTGTGTGTGTGTGTGTGTGTGTGTGTGTGTGTTTGTGTGTGTGTGCTTTAGCGAATCTCCATTTTAATACAACACCGAATCAGAAAAAGTTGGGACAGTATGGAAAACTCAAATCAAAAAGAAAGTAGTAACTTCTAAATTTACTTTACTTTACTTTTATTTCATTGCAGGCAATATGAAAACCAAATATTTTACCTTTTGTCTGGTCAACTTTTATTTTAATTCATTTTATTTGTAAATTTTCATTTTTTTACTTGTAAAACCTGTACTGTGCCAAAAGGAAGCCCTATGTTGACAGTATCCAGAAGGGCCGTCGACTTCTCCGGGCTCAGAGGCATCTGGGACGGACCATAACACAGTGGAAACGTGCATTGTGGTCAGACGAATCAGTATTTCAACAATTTTTTGCAAAGAAATAGATGTTGTGTGCTCCAAAACAAAGACAAAAAAAGGATCCTCCATAATGTTACCAGCAACAAGTCCAAAACCCAGGGTCTGTCATGGTATGGGGTTGTGTCAGTGCCCTTGGAAAAGGTTAACTTCTGTGATGGCACCATAAATACTGAAAAGTCCATAGACATTTTGTGAGCACAAGATGCTTTCTTCTTTTACAGGGAATGTATATTTCCATGCATATTTCAACAAGACAATGCAAAACCACATTCTGCACACATTACAAAGTCCTGGCTGCAGAGGAAGAAAATACAGGTAATTGACTGGCCTATCTGCGTTTCGTTGGAGCATGTCTGGTGCAATGTTAGATGCACAAAATGTGATAACAAAGACCCTGTACTGTTGCCTACCTTAAGGCGTACTCACACTATGCTATCCTAACCGTGCCCAGGCCCGGTTCCTACATCGTTTGACAAGTATGAGTGCTCTGAATCAGGCTCAGGCACGGTTCAGTTGGCCGGCCCTGGCACAGTTGGAAGAGGTTTGCCAGAGTGTGCTTTGCTTGGGCTCATGCGCGATACACTTGTAGCGTGAGTGCATAAAGCGCAAAACTGAAGATGAGATGTGACTTTTAAAGGACTGTTTCATATGGATTAATTAATCATTCTTAGTGTTCAATGAACGCAAACTGTAATAGTTTATTAAAGACGCAATCCCCTCACTGCACGACAGCTGCGCACCTTTAGCAAACCTCATATTTCCTGCAGCACAAGGACTTTATGGTTGTAATGTGAGTGTAGGCCGTCGAGGGAGAAGGGAGGGGGGACAAGCGTGCTTCGGCCTGGTTCAAAGCAACTGTACATGGTGAGTACGCCCTTAAAGGCTACACACCAGGATGCATCATCAGTGTGTTTTGGGACGTTTTTCCGCATTCAAGACCAAGTGATTTTCACTGGCGTCGAGCAGAAGAGTATGCAAAATCCCTTCTTGACGTTAGATAGAGCTTAATGAAAAGGGTGGCGCTACCCAACTTTAAGCTTCTGACACCTGCTTGTAACACTGAAGAAGAAGAGAAAAAAGTTGACACACACGCTGCGTCCGAAAGCGTATACCTACATACTATATAGTACGCTAAATCAGTATGTGAGCCGAGTAGTATGTCCGAATTCATAGAATTCAAAAATCAGTATGCAAGAAGTACCTGGATGACTTACTTCTTCCGGAAAGATTCTGGAGTGCGCTTCCGATGCACGCTGCAATATGATGCCCCTGATGCCTCGAGAGAGAATTCATGAATGGGAGTGAAGCGATGCTACTGACACAGGTAGGTCATGTGACCTTGACAAAATGGCAAATGTAGAATGTCTGAATTCCATTCGTACTTTTCACATTCATACTTTATAGAACGTACTTTTCTAACAGCCGAGTAGTACGTTTACATTCAAATGCAGTACTTAGTAGTAGGGTGTTTCGGGCGCAGTCGATTGTTGTTAAAGTTACTGGCAATTCGAACAAGCATGGACGGCAGGCTCCACGTTTATATCACCTCTGGGCATCTTTTTCAGTGTGCACTCGCATTGACAGTTTTGCACTTGAGTGCCTCCAAGTGGTGTGTTCTGTAATTTCAGCAGCTCCCTAAACAGGTTTTAAATGTTGTGAAAAGGAATGGCAACATTACAAAATGTTGCAAAATGTGTTGCTAAAACAAAAATTGGAACACGTGTTTACTCTGAAAAAAAAAAAAAATCTAAAGGAACACATTAATTAATGTTTGCTGTATTGTCTGCTACTGCCATTAAGTCAATGTAACTTTAGAAATCACTATTTTCTTTTTTATTTGTGTTTTCTATTCTGTCCCAACTTTTACTGATTGGTGTATATATGTCATTTTCTTGTAAACATACTCATAACATACCCTATAGGTTCTTTTTTTAATACATTTGTAACATACAGTACTGCTCAGCCTGTGTTAGTGAATGGCTAATATGATTATTTTTTAAATAAATGGAGCTAATAATAAATTAACAGAATCACAAAATAATTATTTTGTCGAGACATAAAACTCGTGCATCATTAACAATTAATGTTACTGACTAGTAAATCATGATTTTTTAAAGAAATAAAACAATTCTTTAGTAATTGCAACCATTGAGATATTTTACACAGTGTATATAAATGAGAAAGTTTGTTTTAAAGTTGACTTGTTTTAAAGCTGATTTTCCTGATTCTGCTGTGGAGATTTCTAATAAATCAGAAACTATGCCGACAGAAAATGAAAAAAATGTTTTGAAGTTTCTTTCTCTACTTTTTCTTCAAGAATTCAAAGCCAGTTCGCAGCGCCATCTTGAGGTGACAGAGTTTACTACACAGCAATTAAATGGAGAATCTAATATCTTAATGGCTGCAAGTAAGAACAGGGCTAGAAAGGACATTAATTTGTACCAAATCAGCACATTTCAAAAGACCTCATTAGATTAATTTCTTATTACATCTAAAATGGTGCTTTTAGGTAATGAATACAGGGATTTTGCCTAATTAAGCATGAAATAGCCATATTCAGCATGCTGTCTGGAGAAAGTCTAAAAATATAGCCTAAATCAAAGACCAGACAGATCTTAAGGAAATTCCTTCCAGATTCTTCTCATTAACAATGAGAGATTGTCTAGTTTAAACACACTTTACCCATTGACTTCTTGTTTAAAAGAAAACAGCCTTACCTCCACATATTCTCCCTGGTTTTCTGTGATGTCCAGTTCACTGCGTAAAGAAACATATTGACAACATTGTTTAATTATACAAAACTCTTATATGATATATTGTACAAAGGATCAAGCTATTAAATGCTATAACAAGCTGTATTACTTTCTAGTCAGCTGGTAATGTTAAAAAATAGTTCAGTGTGATTATCAAATTGTAAATACTTTATTGTATTTATAATGTGAGCAGCTTATAATAGTGTTTTCAGTGTCTCTGAGTTGCTTAGTTTATGAAATTGATCACGAGCTCCATCTCTGCAAGTTATTTTTTTAACACACCCGTTTAATTTCTTTGCATAGTGCAAGATGCTTAATAAAACTCAAAGAGGAACTTGACCCTATACTTTTACATTCAAAGGAAGTAAAAATGTGTTCACAGAAATACCACATCAATGACAAGGATGTAATGCGGTTGGACCAAAAAGCATAGAGCATCTCACAAAGTAACCTTATAATTCCTGTTATTACAAAACTAATTGAAATAGTCAAGTTAAAGGGATAGTTCACACAAAAATGAAGATTCTGGCAACATTTACAACCCTCCACTTGTTCCAAACCAGCTAGATTTTCTTTTTTTCTGTTGAATACAAAAGAAGGTTTTTTTGAAGTATGTTGAAAGCAAGTGGCCATTGATTTCCATTATTTCCTATTTTGGATGCTAATGGCTGTGGGTTTCAAACATTCTTTAAAATTTCTTCAACAGAGAATCCCAACTCGAGGTTTGGAAGCACTTGATTTCATGATTTTCAAGCACTTGAGGAATTCATTTGCTTTAAGAAATTAGATGCTTTGTTTCCAGTGAGGACTTGAGAAACTTGTTCATGCTTTCATCACCAGGGTGGTGAATTACTGTACCAGCCTCCTGACTGACCTTCCCAAAAAGACAGTCAAACAGTTACAGCTCATCCAGAACACTGCTGCTAGGATTCTGACCAGAACCAGAAAATCAGAGCACATCACATCTGTCCTCAGGTCTTTTCACTGGCTCCCAGTTACATTCAGAATAGATTTTAAAGTATTACTACTTGTCTATAAATCACTAAATTACAATGGCCGGGAAGTGCAATAACAACATTTCAAAGTGTGAAACACTTTTATGAAGCTCAAGACAATTTTAAAGTTTGGAAAACATTTTTACCTATCTTAGAACACAGTTACATAGGAAAAAACAATTTTAACAAGGACGAAACAAATTTACAAATTTACATTCCCTTTTCGTAAAGAATCTGTCATTGTTAATTTGTTTCAGGACTAGTAAAAGTGCTTTGCGACTTAATTTTTTTTCTAAAATGTAAATTTGTTTCGTCCTATATAAAAACAATTTTTTTTTCCTACTGTATATAATGGCCTCAATATGCTCACTGAATACAAACCTAACAGATCACTCAGATCTTTAGAATTAAATAAATGAGAAATTCTAAGAGTTTAGTCAAAGCAGGGTGAATCTACCTTCAGCTTCTAAAATTGAATCAGCTATTAGAAATGATTAGATGTGCTCCAACATTAGGCACATTCAAATCAAGACTGAAAACACATCTGTTTAGCTGTGCCTTTACTGAATGAGCACTGTCATACATCCGACAGATTGCACTATTGTGTCTTTCTTTTCTTTTACATTCCTTTAAAACCCGTTTTAACACATTTGAATCTGTTTTTATTCTGTTTTTTTATTTTCTTATACTTGTCTCTTTTATTCCTGTTTATGTAAAGCATTTGAATTATTATTGTATGAAATGTGCTATATAAATAAACTTGCCTTGTCTTTAACTGTCCAAATTACTGTCGGAATTGCTCCTTTAATTAAATCAAGTGACAATGGAACTAACCAATATGTATGTAGATTGTGCCTATACACAGTATGACATTGTACCTTCTGTCAGAATTTATATAGCACATTCTTAAAGAATGTGATGAGTCAAATCATATTGGTAAATGGTAAATAAATGTTTATTTTTTTAGCTAATTTTCTTTTCTTAAATTACAAAATCTACAATTTTGGATCAGTAAATAAACATCATTATTCCTAACAAGTAAAAATTTGCAGGGAATGTTTCAGGTTTTGTGTAATGTCTTGAATAAAAGTAAACTACTGTATATTCATATGTTAAATGAAAAACAAATGTATTATCATTATTATTATTTTTTTTTGTTATATGAACAATCAGCCTATATAAGTCACATTATAAATGTAGGATTTGGCAGTCCATTTTTTTTGTTAATTTTTGTGTATTTTCAAAAAAAAAAAAAAAAAAAAAAAAGAATTGAAGCAACCAATCACATAAAATTAATAATTTTAGGCTACAAATATGAAAAATGTCACTGCTTAATCCTGGAGGGAATGATGTTTTACCTAAGAAATAAATTTATATTTTGAATAAAACTTCTTATCTAAAATGTTTTACAAACAGCCCATTCAGGTTAGGAAAAAAATAAAAAATAATAATCCATTTACATGAGTTATTGTTTTTGCTACAGAAATTAAGAATGCTTGAGAAAGAGAAGATAATCTTCATTGTGTAAAAGTGTGACTAACTCCATCGGACTTTCCAATTTGACACAAAATGTTTTAGGTAAAGAGGAAGCCAGTATCTGCATCGTATAACAAATATTCTCCCAGAGTATGTGAGGGAAACCAACTTGCTTTAATTGTGAAAATAGTTCTAAATAAAGGTGCCTCATGCATGAGCAACATCGAATTTACTGTCAAATCAGAAAGAAACTTCTTTCAGCATGGGAAAGGTTTCAGAAAAGCAGAACTGCCAAACTCTGAAAAGACAGACAACATCTTAAACACTTTAGTCTCAATGATTTAAAATTAAAACTGCGCTGAACAAAGACTTTCTGATCTGAAACACAGCAATGAAAGCAGCATAGATGTCAAAACAAGTTAGAAAGAAAACGTCCTTCAAAAAGCCAAAGTCTTGAATTTTACACTGACATCTTGTGGTGTGACTGCAGATTTGCACTGCAGCAAAATATCCAAGTGAAGGAAAAAACCTTGTCATGGATCAGCAGAGTTGCCATAGTTGGCTACTTTTAGCTACTTGCTGCCGCTTGTTTTTTATTTAGAAGATTAAAGTCATTTTATATGGATTATATTTACATGCTTGCTTTTAAATACATTACTGTACCACATTTATATTCTACCAAAGATAAAAACTGCTGGGATGATGAAACAGTGTGAGCCCATGAGTTTTCGTTGCTATGGTAACATTTTGACATGACCCTTCGGCATTATTGCTAAATAACTGCAAAATTATGTTATCTAAGTCTGTCAATTTTAGAATTTGGTTAATGTATTGAATGTTTATTTTAATTTAATTATCTTCATTTAAAATGAAGTACACAAGTTTAGATTTCAGTTTAGCCAGATATTTTCTTTTTTCTTTTCATTTCTTTTTTTAATGGACAACACATGGATGAGAGACATCATAAAAGCTGTGGCGTCAATTTAAAATAAAAACAATTTTTGGCCCACTTGCAATTCATCTGTTACAGCACTGTGGGGGAATTTTAGCAATTCTGAAATTGCAGTAATTCAGCTACACTGGAGGGTTTCTGAGCATGAACTGCATTTTAAGATCATGCCACAGCATCTCAATTGGATTTAGGTCAGGACTTTGACTAGGCCACTCCAAAATCTTCATTTTGTTTTTCTTCAGCAATTCAGAAGTGGATTTGCTGGTGTGCTTTGGATCGTTGTTCACTTCAACTTGATTGCCGGACATTCAGTATATTTTGGTATACAACAGAATTCATGGTTCCATTAATCACCGCAAGTCTTCTAGGTCCTGAAGCAGCAAAACAGCTCCAAACCATCACACTACCAGCAGCACATTTTACTGTTGGTATGGTGTTCTTTTTATGAACCCACAAAATGGAACATATACCTTCCAAAATGTTCAGTGTTTGTCTCTTCAGTCTATGGAGTATTTTCCCAAAAGAACTGTGTGATCATTAAGATGTTTTCTGGAAAATCTGTGACAAGCCTTCATGTTGTTTTTGCTCTGCAGTGGTTTTCGTTTGGGAACTTGAAACCATTTATTCCCAGTATGGTTCTTATGGTGGAGTCATGAACACTCACCTTAACTGAGGCCTGCAGTTGTTTGGATGTTGTTGTGGGGTCATTTGTGATGAGTTGATGCTGGGCTCTTGGAGTAATTTTCAGCTGGCCATTCCAGGTAAGGTTCTCCACTGTTTCATGTTTTGACATTTTTAGATAATGGCTCTCAATGTGGTTCTCTGCAGTCCCAAAGCTTAAAATAGATGTATAACCTTTTCCAGACTGGAAGATCTCAATTAATTTCTTTTTCATTTGTTTTGGAACTTACTTGGATAAAGATTTTGAGGATTTTTGGTCTACTTCACTTTGTCAGGCAGGTCCTACTTATGTGATTTCTTGATTGTGAACAGATGAGGCAGTAATCAGGCCTGGGTGTGGCTAGAAAAATTGAACTCAGGTGTAAATAACATAAAATATGTTTTAATATGGGGCAAACACTTTTTCACACCAGGCTTTGTGGTTTTAGACATTTTTTTCCCCCCTAAAAATAAAATACTTCATTTTAAAACGGCATGATGTTTTTACTTGTGCTATATTTGACTAATATTTAAATTAGTTTGAAAATCTAAAACATTAAATTGTGACAAACATGCAAAAAATCCAAAAGGGGAAAACATGTTTTCACACCACTAAACATACAGTATATATTTGAATAAAACTAGTTAATAGTTTTCTTGCTATACCTTTACAAAACATAAACATTGATTATTTGTTTTATTGTAGTGAAAGCATGTTTAAGTTTTGTAAAGGTAGTGATATTGTGGGACAGATACTGTATACAAAAGCAGGAAGACTCTTAACACAGAGTCTTCCTGAAGACATTTCTCACATCCTCCAGATGTGCAGACTGACCTCACATCATTATCCTCCTTCAGCTGTATTTGCAAACAACAGAGAAAAGATCTAGCTTGCAAACAACAAACCAGGTGTCATTTACAATGAGCTCTGACCAAGTACAATCTAATTATTACAAGCTGCAGTATGTCTGTATTAAAATGCTGTCCACATTACCATAATAATAAAAGTATTGTTTGCCATGTCATATCGCGAAGTAAGAAAGCACTATCTTTTGATTTCACAACTACTCCGTTTGGCTATAATGCACTTTGGTAAATGCTATAATGAATTTAAATATGAAATCTTCACAGTGTAAATAGATTGTGAATAAAATATCATAGATAACAGTGTAGATAAACTATGAATGAAAGATGATTAATAAAGCTAAACAGCATGCAATTTATCCACAACTGTCATTAAAATAAAACTAAAAACTATAGGAAGATTATGGAAGTTATTAGGCTTTTTAGTAGTATAGCAAAATAGTATTTCCTGGTTAACTTACAACATACTGTCAGTTATAAACTCACCTGAAATCCTTGTACAACTTCATCCTCAAACAAAAATAATAATAAAAAATTACAGATTTAAAGTTGTTGATTAAAATCCCCAGTATGTGTTCTCATGTACGTGTCTAGTCAAGTTCCTTTGGGAAGCTGAGAAGAATGAACCACAGATTTCCTCTGAATCCCGGTTCACCCTGTTGCTCTCTGCTGCCTACTAATGTGACTAATAAGAATTGATGAGGGCGACTCAAAATACTGTTTAACTAAATATTTCAATTAATAATTTACATAGAATAATTATTATTATGGTATTTTTTACATTATATATAAAAATGTTTAACAAAAAAAGTGTCTGGGGCCTTTTAGATGAGCAGTATCAGAAATGCATGTCCTAGTGCACAGAGTAAGGAATCATAAGAATGCTTTTTCCTTAGTCTCTGTCTCATGAGAGCATCTCAAGATTGGCATCAATCTTTATGTTGAATAAACTATAGCCAGTGACACAAAGGCTGGAATGTATTCTGGTTTGGATGGGTTTTAACCTTTTTTCAGGTGGTCAATAAATATATGGACATTGTTACGTACTGCAGCATGACGACAGAGATGCGGATCCAATTGCCGTTCTTTAATATAGATGAGGATGGTCAAAACGGCCAGGATCAAAATTAATAAAACAAACCAATGTCCCAGATAATTCCAAAAAGCAGTGAACAGGAAAAGGTCAAGGAAGGCAGTAATCAATCATGAAAAAAAAAGTCCAAGGGCAAAAGAAAGAAACAGGAAACAAGAAAAAACACTTGTTATAACCCATGCACCGTCAACAACTGGAAAATGTCCATAATGGACTGTGAGAGTTTGAGTTCTTACCAAAATGTGCCATCTAAAGCACAATCCTATTGGTGTGTTTCACTATAAATTAAAATATTATTTAGGTAAAGTAGCGTTTGTATACATGGTAGATATCAAAAGTCTTTGTTGCATCACTAATAGACTGCTGACATCGGCCATTTTGTAATGATCACGTTTCATGGATGCACACTTCAGAATCTCGCTGAAAGTAGTAGGTCATTCGGGTACTTTTTGCATACTATTTTTAAAATTCTATGAATTCGGACATACTACTCGGCTCGCATACTGCTTTTAGAGTAGTATATAGTATGGAAGTATTTTTGGATTTTGGACGCAGCCTGGGTTTTTCTGTAGTGCTGAAAAATATGTATCAGGTGTGGGTGTAATGAGTGCAGGTGTTTCTGGGAAGTGTAGTCCAGGGAAATTGCAGAGATGCAAGATGGAGGGCTATCTAGCAGAGTTAGAGAAACGGCAATATTGCTGTTAAATTTGACTCAATAATTTATTTTTGTTTGCAGCCACATAACTTTATTATAAATTCAAAAAGGATAATAATATCATCATGTGATTGTATTCGATATTAGGATGATGTGTACATATAATAATTACACAATGTTTTGATGTTTTTGTGCTGGTACCTTGGCAGATTATCATTGATAGACCTAAATAAGCATGACACTAAAGTCTTTTGCACCAAGATGATTATCTCGCATGATTATTGTTGACGTTTAATGTCTCATGTCATCACTAAGGCTGGACATAAACTACAAGATAATTGAAAACATTTAAAACAAATGCTAGTGTTAATCATGTTTATGTCAATATTAGTCATGTGTAAATTGTGTGTAGTGTTTTGACAAAATGAGTCTTAATTTCAAAATCGTGCTTAAGCAATCAGAAAAAAATGTAAAACGGCTTGCCATAGCAGTACATACAGTAATAGGTAGCTAAAAATTTAAATTAAGAATCAATGAACCTAGCGGATTCTTACCTGTTTAACTCCTTCTCTTCTTGGCCGTCAAGTTTATAGTTCCACACTATATTAGCATCTTCTTCTACTGCTATCTTCTTCTCCATCTGGTTGCCAGTCTTCTGAGGCAACTGGATCAAGTTATTGTCCTCCTTGAGCTCCTCAGTGTCCTTCATCAGTTTGTCTCCTTCTTTAAGTCTCTTCTTGGGCAACACTGGCTGGACCGTTGACTCTTGGCTCACGCATAGTTCTATTGAAGCTCCCAGACATGCATTCGATGCATCAACATGTTTGAAGTTTACTTCAAGCTTCTTATTTTCATCTTCCAGCCTTGTTGAGTGTCCATCCACACATGGAGGAGGTGGAAGGTCTCGATTCTGGATGTAAGCCGTCTTGTCTTCAATAATGGGGTTTTCCAGAACCTCCAGCCCCTTTCCAGAAAGCATACTAAGGAGAGGAGATTCAACCACATGGTCTGGTCTCAAGCTTTGGCTCCGAGTGAGGTTGGCCTTGTCTTTGGTCTTGCTCTTTTTCGAGTTTTTGTCCTTCTTAGAATGGCGCGGCATGGTGCCCATGTGTGTGTACATTTCACTAGAGGTGGCATAGCTCGGGCTTCGTGGATGCATGCCCATGTCGTCGGTGGACATTTCTTTGACTGATTCGTCATCTTTCTGCGCATCTGATTTCCGCCGGAGGTTTGTGAGGCTACCAAACCACTTGAAGCCTAAGAAAGGAGAAAACATTTTGCGCATGTTAAAACACAGATTTGAGTTACATGAAGCATTCTGTGGTGAAAAAAGGAGAGATTGCTACGTCCGCTGTGCACCCTGTCATTCCAAGAGTTCCTTTAATGTGAGAACGAAACATGCAGGCTCTTAAGTAAACATACAACCCCTGACCTTGTCTGTGGGAAAACTTCATCGGCCCCTTTAGTCTCTAAAACAACCATATGAACAAGTCGGTTTCTCATAAATGAAGCCAGAATATTTCCTTCTGATTAAAATGATGGCATGATGCAAGAGCAGTGATTATGATGAACAGGGGAGGAAATTAAGACTCTGTGAAAACAGGAAGGCAATACTTAAAATAAAGCTTTATCTTTAAAAAAAGCTTTTTTCATATACATGTTTTCTTTATCACTGTTGGAACTTATGTTCATTTATCTTAATAATTATAGCTCACAGAGAACTATCAATGTTTAACCCCATTTTGGTTTTGTTTTCTTGCCTAGTTCAGCGGTCTTGTCCAGACTGAGTTTATTCAGACATTGGACAGACTTAAATGAAAAACATATTGAATTATTAATATTAGTATATAATAATTATATACTAATACTAATAATACTAATTATTATATAGTATAATATTATACTAATATTAATAATATTAGTATAATAATTATAGTAAAGAAACACAGCCATGTAGACGTGTAATTAAAGGAAGAAACATGATGTGAGGCTATATCGAATTTTGCAGTTGCAAATTAATAAATCTTAAAGGGCACCTATTTTACCCTTTTTTAAGATTTAAGATAAGTCTCTGGTGTCTCCAGAATGTTTCTGTAAAGCTCCAAAAACCTACAATAAACAGCACAGTGACAGACATGAAAGCAGCAGATCTCACGTAACGTTTGCGAAAAAATACTACAGTAAGAACTTTTCCATGGATTATTTGATGGATTTGTTTTGGAGTTAATTCAAGCCTTTCTGCAACAATGAGTCACACACTATGTCATTACAAAGTTTACACACACACAATTGGGACTGAATCATCTTTTTTATAATTGTACTGACATGCGGCTGTGGTGTGGTCTTTAACTGACTTTATTTCTTTATTTTCATAATATATCTAATGCACTGTTTTTAAAACGTTTTAAAATTGTAAAATTTATTCTTGATCACATTTGATCACAATGATCACAGCGAGCCGAACAGATCTTTTAATTCCAGTTGAATTGCACACGTCCTGTCCTGCTGATATGATTATACGTGTTACTACGGAGACATGTTAATACATGGCTGTCAATAAATTCAAATCAAACTCAAAATAAATTTAATTAAAAACAGCACAATTTATGTTTAAAGCTAGGAATCAATTACTTCTAATATGCATGCAAAAGATTTTTGAAGAAAGACAAGGGTATATAATCTGAGAGAACAAAATCTTTTTTTAAGAAGGTTTAAAATAAGAACAACTTTTAAAAAATTGTGTATGTTTGTATGTGGTGTGAAATTATGGCACAGTCTGGAACAGATTCTTAAACAATGTCAGGAAGTTAATCAATTAAAAAAGTTTTATAAATATATATTATTAAAGTAATATTTTAATTAATAGAGGGGAAATTATAAAATTAAAAAGGTATCATTAAATTTCAATTAATGGCTGTTTGCAATACTATGCAATTTTTTTAGGTTTATGTAATAAAACGTAAACTTACAAATGGAATGAAACATGTAATATGTCAAAGATGCCAAAAGGAAAAAATATTTCTCATGTAAAGCTCATATGTCTCATGTAAAAAGAAAAAATAAGTAAAAGAAGAAATAGTTGAAGTAATAGACGAATGATGTGTGTGGTAATGGGATGGGGAAAATAATACACTTGTGCTTCATCCCACTCCATTTCGACTATGTTGAAATGTAAATCAACCCACTGAGTTACGTTTTTTATAATGTTTTTAACCAAACTGTTGAGTTTTTTCAGATTTTTCCCGGGTTATATGTAGCAGTGTTTATAGTGATTTGATTATTTAATTCGAACAGAAAAATCATACAGAAAAACTCTTTAACAAAAATACATTTCAACATGGTCGAAATGGAGCAGGATGGAGCACAAGCTTATTATTTTTTCCACCCTATTACTTCTGTAATGTGAAGTAAGACTGACAGCAGGGTGTGCGGGTCCAAACGTAGGTTTTATTAGCAGGATGGTCAGGCTAGCAAAGGTCAACACAGGGGCAAACAGATGTACACAGGCAATCCAGAGTCGAAGTCAAATAAAGAAGCAAATGGCCAAAAGGCTGGCAGCAGACAGGAATAAACAAACAAAAGAAGGGTCTAAAACATGGCAGGACAAGGCAAGGGAAACCGCGTCATAATGTTCACTATACAGTCTCATAAGACTTATTCCGAGTTCAGACTGCATGATTTTCAAACTAGTCGTGTCACAGATGTTTTCACACTGCATGACTATCTGGGCTAGCATTTCGTCGCTGCTTTGTTTACACTGCAAGATGGTTCGGCGACATGGACATTCACATTGCATGACTTTACTATAGGGAGAATCGCCGACAACTTCGTCCAAACTACGTCTCACAGCCAAAAACATGTAGTATATCTTTTGTTATTAACTACATAATGAGAAAGAAGCCTTTAATGGGGTAGAACATGTACATGTTTGCTCACCTGGGTTTAAAGGGAATTAGCCTTTTCTCCTCAACTTAAGTTGATAATAAACTAATTTCTTTCAGTATGAAACGTCAAACAGACACGGTTGCTCCTGAGTCCTGTCAAACCTCCACTAGTTTTTCCTCCATTTTGTGGGTCCAAATAAACCGAAAAAAGCGCTTATAACTTCTCCCCCAGCCTCCCGCTGGCCTGCAGCAGGTATACACACACACACACAAGTGAAAGCTGCTCTCTCATTGGCTGTAGGCGATCGCTGATGTTATTTTCTGTCAAAACTCAATTCACACGGCATGATTTGAATCGCCGACAGCTCCAGATATTTAGCATGCCAAATATCTCACAGGCATCGGCGACTCATCTGCGATTCTCTCAGATCGCGTCTTTGATCGTTCATACTGTGTGATTGTCACTCACGTGCACGAGCAGCGATTTGCCTGTGATCTCAGGCATTTGTCGGCGATTTCTCAAAACCTGTCGGCGAGCCAAAATCGGAGCTAAAATCACGCAGTCTGAACTAGGCATTAGCAACAAGTGTGTGTGTGTGTCTTATTCATTCATTAATTTTCTTGTCGGCTTAGTCCCTTTATTAATCCGGGGTCGCCACAGCGGAATGAACCGCCTACTTATCCAGAAAGTTTTGATACAGCGGATGTCCTTCCGGCCACAACCCGTCTCTGGGAAACATCCATACACACTCATACACTACGGACAATTTAGCCTACCCAATTCCCCTGTACGGTATGTCTTTGAACTGTGGGGGAAACCGGAGCACCCAGAGGAAAACCACACGAACGCAGGGTGAACATGCAAACTCCACACAGAAACGCCAACAATTGAGCCGAGGCTCGTACCAGCGACCCAGCGACCTTCTTGCTGTGAGGTGACAGCACTACCTACTGCGCCACTGCCTCCCCCGCGTGTATGTCTGTGCTGCTTAAATAGGCCATGTAATCAGTTCATGAGTAGCTTCAGCTGTGTCTGTCTGCAATCATGGGGATCTAGGCCAGAGGTGCATGACTGGTTCTTGTAGTCCATTTAATGGCGGATTTGTTGTTCTATGCAGTACTGTGCGTTTACCAGCAATTTGCACAGGCTGGATCGCTGGTGATTGTGACAACCACACACATTATTCGTCTATTACTTCAACTTATTTTTTCTTTTACCTATCTCTTCTTTTTACATGAGACATATGAGTTTTACCTGAGACAAATTTTATCCTTTTGGCATCTTTGACATATAACATGTTTGATTCCATTTGTACATTTACTTTTTAAAGCATAGACACCCCAAAAATACAAAATATTGCAAACAGCCAATAATAGAAATTTCATTATACCTTTCTCAATTTATTCCTTTTCAATCACCTTTATTATTCATTATATTTCTTTAATAATATATATTTATACAACATCAGTTCACATTAGTGCTCATTTTATTCTATGAGACTAAATATAAATGTAACATCCATAAAGTGTAACAAACACTATTAAAATTGTAAATGAACTTAATGTAAATGTAATATGATATAATGCAGTACACATTTTCAACGTTTCCTTAATCAAGCACTTAAGTTAAAAATCTTCCGTTTAAAAAGCCTTGACAACAACTTGACAAATGTACACTTTTTTTTTACAACAGTCATGCACGGTATCTCACTTCCCTGTTCTCCATATACAGGTATACTTTGCCCTTTATTGACCTCATAACACTGAAACTAATCTGACATAAACAACCTTTATTTTCATCACGAGTTTGTTTTCTCCTGGTCGATGTTCAATTCAGCTTATATTGATCTCGTCTGCAGTACATTCATTTGCTTTGTGCAGCTGAATCCCCAAATGTCATTATGGTATTCCCACACTGTCTTCATTCAGCAGGATTCTGGCTTTGGCTTTACCTCCAGGCGTGTGAAGCAAAACAACAAAAAGCCTCTTAAAAATTTATCTCTGTGCTTTGCACCAGTGCCTTCAAATACACAAACCTTCATAAGAGAGGAACATTAGCCTTTAAAGCCATTATAAAAAATCAATAAAGTCAAAGGCACTGAATGATAGAGGATGTATTATGTTTCTTTTGATCATAAGTAAAGTGAATTCTCAGTATGTGTCTATGAAGTTTCATCTTAAAATACCTTACAAATAATTTATCATAGCTTGTCAAAAATTGCCTACAGTATATGTAGGTTGATTAAAAACATTAAACATTTTATTTGTATCTGTTAATTTAATTGCAAATAAGATGTTGCTTTCCAATAAAGGGCAGAGCCTTTTCACACTATTCTGACAGAAACAACAAAACAAACAAATCTCACATGGCCAGGAAGGTTTTATCTGCGAATGTTGAGGTGGTTTTGTCTGTGAAAAAAATAATGCGAACAATCATAGAACAATCATACCTCTGCTGTAGCAAACATTACACCCATGTGACTCCATTATGCTTTCCTTGTTTACTGTAGATTGTTAGATTTTCAATACCAATGTTTAGGAAAGCTCCGATTAATTGGCTGAGATCGGTATCAGCCGATAATCACATTTTATGACTCGATCTGTACTCGCCACTCTGGCCGATCCTATGAACCGTTAAAGAAGATATTAGATAAAATACCATGCAAATCATGGAGATGAGAGTGAATTAGCAAGAGAACAGATTTTGAGAGGCACGGTGATGTTCTAAGCTTTGCACTTATTAGGGTAGATGAATAGCACAGTAAAGATATCTCAAGTGCACATCCCTGTCTCTCTCATCGAATGATTGAGCTGCTGTTAGGCTGTCCTGAGTATAGGAGCTGCAGTCACAGATGTGCTAGTTGAAGAGCAAAATATTTGAATGGCTTTTCATGTATTTAGGCCCTTTTACATGTATAAAAACTAAAAGTTCAGTGTTTTTGACTATTTTATCTATTATTTTCTGTAAGGCTGCTTCTGAGAAGTCCACAAAACAGTACATAAAAACAGTTATAAGAGACATGTTTAAGGGATTTTATGGAACATCTTTCATTTATTCTCTTAGGTAAGGAGAGATCTCCGCTAAAGTATCACACTTAGAGGGAAAATGTGCTTTATGCATTATAAAGCTTGAAGCATTAGAATCGGTAGTCGATATCGGCTGATCACCATGACAAGGAATCAGTACTCGGTATCGGCTGCAAAAATCCTGATCGGAGCATACCTACTACTGTCACCATTCTAAAGTCAAAGACTATAGAATACACAAGACGTGTCACTTGTATAGTTTTGAATGGGGAAAAAATGTAAAGGTCAATATAGGGAATGAAGCCCTGCCTACTAGTACAGTAGGCAATCGGTGATTACTATAGACTGACATTCCTCCGGGGGAGATGTTCAGATCAGGCAACATTTTCGAGATTTGCGACACTTTGGTGGAAGACAAACACACTGGAATCTCAGCAAATACTTGCTTCATAGTCATAAGAAATATATCTACAAAAAATGGATATCTGTACTTTTAAATGAACCCACTACACTTGAAAACAAAATTTTTCTGGCTTTGCAATCTGTATGAAACGAACGCAAGGTACATTCCATCCTGTCAAATACACATCACATGACAGCAACTACTCAAACTACACCCCACAATCTAGTAAACAAAGTGTGTCTGTCATTTCTGGAGGAAATTTGCCATCATGATCAAGTATTGAATTACTTTAGAAGAGCAGCGCGATCTGACAAAGCATTCAGAGGATGCTAATGTTTAGAACGGCCATACATGAGGTTAATGTCATGATCTTGTTCCTTTCACATGCGCATTAGCTTGGGCAACCTGAAAATATGCCTGTTTGATTCAGACATGTAGAAACGAAACTTACGAGACAGTTGTTGTTTAATTCTATTGGTGATTGCAAATATGCAATGTAATCGTAAGCTTGGCAAACAGTTTTGGAGAATTAGATGACCGGTGAGTGAAATGACTTGCCTTAAATGAACTAAAGTAATCTTAAGGCCTTGGTATTACCAAAACGCACTTATTGCAATGAGAAGCGCATCTTTTAAATAGTTTTCTAATGGCTGCCAGTCTTTTGTGCACTGCTTATGTGTCCTGCACACCTTGCATTTTTGCTGGTGTGCACTGTGCGCCTGTAGTTGAAATAGTTAACTCTGAGCAGAAAAAGCGAGCTATATCAGTCACGTCTTTTTCATTCTCCATGAAAGCAGAGGTGTGGTTTCAGTTGAGGCAACAGGAGTGTTTGTGCTGTCAAGATGACTATGGAGACTTAAAGATGGAGGAGAGACTATTGGTTGCTGTTTCGAGTTATCTGGAGCTGTATGACTTCCCAAATCGTGACTATCAACAGCAACACTTGCTCACAATAAACCCTTTTCACATTCCTGGGTTTTTCAGTAGTAGAAGTCGTCTTGGTTAATACATTTTAAGTAATTCTACTTAATTAAACTTAGAGCGCAGTGTATGCGGCAGAGAACAATAAATAATTTTTTTACAATTTTATTTTCTGAAATAATAAAAGAAAAACTCCACGATGGTGTTATAAAGACTTTAAAAAAACAGAAAATATTTGTGTGAGAAATAATATCAGTGAGACTGATATCGGCAGCCAGAAGAGAGAACAACAACAAATTTACTGTTCTGCCAATAGATTGATTTCAAATCCCTCACACAAGCAAAATTACTTTTTTTGTAATTTGATGCAAAGATGTTATAATGCATATGTAAATACATATAAATGTTCAAAAAATCTAAATATTTTTCACAGTCTTGTGAAAGGTTCGTATGCAGATTCAGTCATTGCCTATTGAAATATATACAGTAAAGCACACCACACTTATTTTTGTTCTGTCAACACAAAAAGCCTCACGCTCTCGGAACAGAACAGGCACTTTGGTGTGATTAGCCCCTTACACAGCCTATTTAAGGCTGCTCAAAAGTTGGTATGCTCAGAATTTAGTGTAAAGACGCTATGATGCTAAATACATAAATACATTATGCTTATTTATGTTTTAGTTTCTGTACCGCCTTTGCTGTTTAAAGATGCCCTAACAACTTGATCGTTATGTGCCTAATTTTCAATTAGCATTTTTTTTTTCTTTTGTTGGGAAACTTTGAAAAGATTTGCTTCACATTTGAACACCAGCTAGTAAGTATTTTCAAGATTAAACTGAACCCATTGATCGGGTATCGGAGAATGATCTCAGAAGATGATGGTAACTTTAGCTGCTGATGCAGTCCAGTGTAAAATACACACTCACCGGCCACTTTATTAGGTACACCTGTCCAACTGCTTGTTAAATTTCTAATCAGCCAATCTCATGGCAGCAACCAAATGCATTTAGGCATGTAGACATGGGCTGTTTCTCAATATGCATTTTCAGTGGTCTTGCATCCTTGTATACTCGTGCAATGTTACCATCAACTGCCAAAGTTCAGCTCCAATTCTCAATTCGCAAGAATGGAGGACACGTGAAACGTCCTGAATGTGTTCATATCAAGGACGCATGGATGCAGAGTTAGGCACTGAACTCGCTCTAGAAGCCAGGGTCAAGACAATCTGCTTCAGTTCAAACCGAGCATCAGAATGGGGAAGAAAGGTGATTTAAGTGTCTTTGAATGTGGCATGGCTGTTGGTGCAAGACATGCTACACAAGTGGCCGCTCTGAGTTTATTTTTTAAATATTTATAACACTTCACTGACATTCTTCTCTCATATCCTTTAATAACACAATTCAACCTCAGTGAGGCTTGGATATGAGGATGTACATCCAACAAAAGAACATTTTTAATGTTTGTTTTTGCCACTGGCATTGTAAATCTCCAGTAAATGTAAATATTAAACTGTAGGATTGGCACTGTGGGTGAAAGAGTGCAGATTAAGGGATGGCAATATTATAGAAATCTCACATTTCTATGTCACAAAGTGAGCAAAATCTGAACAGTACATTTTTCCTCATTCTTGCAGAAATAACACAGCTACTGGGTTGTCCTTTATCACAATTTCTGTGTCAGCAGAGTCATCAGAGACCCGATTAGAGCACTTAAACGTAAATAATCTTAATTTTATTATATTTCCCCTTTAAAACATTTTGATCTTTAATAGTCATAACAAACCAGAGACTTAAATCACATACCACATTATATACACCTCATGGTAAAGTGATCCAAAAGAATAATTTCGCCATACTATGCCGGAAGTCCACAATCAAACATACTCACTCAGCTTGCGCTTGATCATGGTTTAGCCTCTTGTATGTCCGGCAGGATGCTGATGGTGGTTTTCTGGGACGGGCAGCAACAGATTTGACTTATGTCTCTTGTATGTGTATGTTGAGACAGAAGTGTCCACTTCCGCTGCTTAGGGTTGATGCTCAGTGCAAGAAAGCAGTGAAAGAGAAGAGCTTCCTGTGGTTGATGCAGGGCGGATGCATGTGATCTGTACTGTAATGCTGCTTTACACAAGAACGCTTGATGTTGACATTCGAGAGAGAGAGAGAGAGAGAGTGTTTTTTTTTTTATTGAATACAAGAATAATAACATCACTGCATTGAAGAAAAAATACAATAACAAAAAATAAGAAAGAAGACAGAGAGAGAAAAAATACACAGCCTCAAACATTAACAAAAAAGATTGTCATAAGCTTTAAGAAACTTATTATTTTTCTTATTATTAATAAGCTTAAGAGATTCAATATTATACGAAATTTCAGCAAGGAAAGTATTAAAAACAGGTATTGTTTTTAGAAACTTATTTTTGTGTATAAAAAAATTACAGTGTAACACAAAAAAATTTACAATAAGATCGAGAGCATGACCATCATCCGAGAAATACAGAAATATATCTTTTAAAGACAAATTTAAATCATGTTTAAAAATGGATGATAAATAAAAAGTAATGTCATTCCAAAGATGTTTAATGTGAGTGCAACTATAGAATAAGTGAAATAAAGTCTCTTCATGTGTATTGCAGAAAGTACACAAATTAGATATATCAAAATAATTCGCAATTTGGGAATTTGTAGGATAAACATTATGCAAGATCTTTAAATGTATCTCTCTTATTTTGTTGGATATGCTGAATTTTTCAGGTAATAACCATGCTCTCTTCCATTGAATGCAGTCAGAGAAGTTGGTCCAAAAAAATTTACATCTTGGGGTGGTATATACAGAGTATTGTAACAATCGTCTGACATGTCTGTTGTCACATTTTTTATCAAAAAAAGACACTCCATCCAAAAATTTTTAGGCATAATTGTTTCCCTCTCATTAAAGTAAAGAAAAGTTTTAAATAAATGCACATAACTTTGTGACAAACTCTTTATAACACAGTTGAAGGATTTAGCTGGCAAAGGGAAGTTATACAATGTCATAAATTCTTCATATTCCAAAATATTGCCATCATTTTTAAATAAGTCCAAAACAAAAACTATTCCTCTTTCAAACCACTTATTAATAAAAAGAGATTTCCCACTAGTTAAGACATTAGAGTTGTTCCAAAGAATTTCTTTGTGTGGGGAAAAATTGTGCACGTAACACAATTTCCAAGCAAGTAAAGCTTGTTTGTGAAAGTTAGAGAGGGAGATTGTCAATTTAGAAGGGATGAAATTACATTTTAAAAGAAAGTCTAAACCACCTAATTTATCAAATATAACATTGGGGATATGGTACCAAATTGAATTATTACTACGGAGACATCTTTGTAGCCAATAGCAAATGAGCTAATTTAATCTTTGAAATTTAAAACCTCTAATCCACCCTCTGAGCGCCTATTAGATAAGACTGATTTTCTAATTTTATGGGTTTTATTCTTCCATATGAAGTTCAATAACAATTTATTTACATTATTAGCAATTTTGTCACTGATAAAAAGAGACATCGCAGGATAAACACAACGAGACAGCCCTTCAGCTTTGGATATAAGTACCCTGCCATAAATGGATAAGTCACGTTGAAGCCATGAATTAAAGATAATTCTAGTTTTTGAAATTTTAGGTGAAAAATTCAGATTTTGACGAGATAATTTGTCTTTAGTAAGGAAAATCCCCAGGTACTTCACACAATCTTTAACAGGTATGTTGTGTATAAGAGATTGCTGTGTATCATAGAGACAAAAAATTTCACACTTTGTAAGATTTAAATATAATCCTGAGGCTTCAGAAAAAGATTGAATAATACTAAGACTTAAAGGAATTTGAGTTTGATCTTTAAGAAATAAAGTGGTATCGTCAGCAAGTTGAGAAATTTTAAATTCTTTGTCAAACAAAGTGAGACCTTTCAAATTTGGATTTTGTAGGATATTAAGAGATAACAGTTCAACGGCTAAAAGAAAAAGGAATGGGGAAATGGGGCAGCCTTGGCGCACACCTCTATCACAAATAAAACGTTTAGTGGTTTGCAGATTAACCAAAACCGAGGAGTTAATGTCATTATAAAGCATTTTCACCATATTAACAAAGTTATTTCCAAAACCAAAAGCTCTGAGAGAGTTAAATAAAAAATGATGCTCTAATGAATCAAATGCTTTATAAAAGTCTAAAAACAAAATCATAGATTCTGAGTCAATGTTCTCTGAGTAGTCAATAAGATCAAGTACTAATCTTATATTAGAGCTAATATGTCTATTATGCATAAAACCATTTTGTGTTTCACCAATTATACTGTGAAGACCAGATTTTAAACGAATTGCAAGAGTTAAGGCAAGTAGCTTATAATCTATATTTAACAAAGAAATCGGCCTCCAATTTTCAATTAAAAGTCTATCTTTATCTGATTTGGGAATTAAAGAAATGAGACCCTGCTTCATTGTGGGTGTCATTTCAGTTTTTTTAATACATTCTTTAAACATAAAATATGTGAAGTGTAAAATAAAATTCAACAGACAAACCATCATTACCTGGAGATTTTCCTTTTTTCAAAGATCTTAATGCACCTTCTATTTCAGAAGTAGAGATATCAGCGTCACATAGCAACTTAAAATCCTCACTAATACTAGGAACTTTATCATGGACAGATACAAAGAAGCAATCACATTTTTCTTGAGAAAACTCAGAAGTATATAATTTTTTATAGAAATTGTATACAAAGGATAAAATAATATTAGGATCTGTACAAAGAACCCCATCAACCTTTAAAGAAGAAAGAGACGTTTTTTTTTCTGTTTCTTTTTTCAAGAGCAAAAAAGTAATCAGTATTTCTTTCGCCCTTTTCAATCCATTTTGCTCTAGAGCGTATGAATGCATCTTTGACAATTTCTGAATACATATTTTCAATTTTCATTACACAAATGCTATATTCTATCTCATCTTCTTTACTAAGATTATTTTTCTGCTTTAACACACCTAATCTATGAATAATTTGAAATTCTTCATTATTTTTTTCTTTTTTAATTTGTTTGCTCCTGTTTATGGCAAAGTCTCTAGCTTTACATTTAAAAAGCTCCCAGCTAGAGCAAGGATCTTTTTCCAAATTACTTAAAGTACGCTTAGCCAGCTGAGATACATAATCATTGAATGGGGTGTCTTTCAATAAGCGATTATTAAATTTCCAGTAGCCTCTTGTATTGTTTGGCATGGGAAACTAAAAAGAGATCAATTCTGGCCTTAAGTGATCCAGATTTGTTGGACCAAGTAAAGCCACTCCTGTCATTATTGAAAAAACGCCATACATCAACAACTGAAATATTTTCACATAACCATAAGATAATATTATCAGCGTTAGTTGTTGTTCTAGAAGGAAATCTGTCTTGTAAGTCATCTGGAGTTTCATTAAAATCAGCAGCTATAATAACATAAGCATTAATATAACACCCTTGAATATTAATAAGTTTGGTACCCAATTGTTTGAACATAAATACATTGGCGCTTCTTGTGTTGTGTCCATAAACATTACACAAAATGAAAATCACATTTTCGATTTTACAAACTAAGACGATCCATCTACCCTCATCAGATATTAAAGATTCTAAAATGTCACCTCTAAATTTGTGAGTCAAAATTAAAGTACCAGCTGAACGGTTAGAACCATGACTCATATAAATCACATTTCCCCACTGCGTTTGCCAAAATTTTTTATCTGACTCAACAGAATGGCTTTCTTGGACAAAAATAAAATCTGCATTAGTATTCCTTTTCGTATGATCTCTTAAACCACGAACATTAAGAGAGGCTAGAGTAAACGAGAGAGAGAGAGAGTGGTTATTGGGTTACTCTGTCAAAGGTGACGTTGTGTATCAGAATCAGAATATTGTTCTTTTTAAGACTGAATTATGTAGTTTTAACATTGGGAATCACCTTTCATTTTGCATTTCATATGATTCTGACCTACAGTATTTATAGACCTTGTTATTAAACTAGGTTGTTTTTGGGTGGGTCTTATAACATTTTTTTAAATCATTTGTAATATTTTTTTGATTAGATTTTTTTTTATTAATTGGATTTTTTAAATAACAAAAAAAAAGAACAACATTATAATATTTTAGATTCAAACTAAATATTTGATGTTCGCCCAGGTGATCTTACGCTGCAGTGTATTCTCCCACCTAGTCCATGCTCCTTGCTGCTGGAGTCACACCGCCCTGCTCACTCTCTCTTCCTCCACACCTGCTTGAACCTCCTTCTGGAGTAGGTGGTGTCTTTACTTACCATGGACCTGGCTAACCAGGTCTTTAGAAAATAGCCCAAGCCCACTCCGCCTGTCGCCACAGTGCCCACCAGAGCCTATTATCTCAGGCATGACTCTGCCATTTCCACTGTTTTTCCAGCATTCCATTTCCTGCTTGTCCTCACCTCAATGCAGGCTGATGACACCTTGCAGTCTCTAGAGTCCCTGTACTGTAGGGCTTCTCTTGTGCTTACGACCATGAATTCTTCTGTGAGGCCACTGAATGGCAGCTGCAAGGTGTTACTCGTCCCATACAGTGCAGTACTGGTAAGACTGCGTGGAAGGCCCAACTATTTTCGAAGAGAGCAACTCATCTTCCTTTCTAGGGACATTGGGACTGCATAAATCAGCAGAGGCCACAAAACTCGGGGCAGAATTGAGTGCTGATAGAACCAGGCTTTGTATCTACCAGACAGGCCGGATTTGTCAACCTTCGTGAGCCAAGCTCCAAGTTCTTTTTTGGACTTCTGGATGGCTGCAGAGTCTTTTAGACTGAATTCAAACAGCTTCCCCTATCTCTTGACAGGTTGCTCAGTGATGGTCGGGATGAAACAGATGGAAAAATAGAACTTGTCAACCACTTTCCCCTTCTTTGGCACCATGGACCTAGACTTGGAGGGCTTAAAACTCATCCCAGCCCAGACAATGAGTCTCTCAAGTCCTTGTAGGATCCATCCGC